AATGGGTTCTACGCGATACGAGCCATAACGTAGCAGCATCATTAATATTCGTTAATGTATCTCGCCGATTTTTACGGAGCCGCGGATAGATTGCATTTATGCAAATTCATCGTATCTAATGCAGCACTTAAGGATAAGAGAACGCGAACCGCTGCCAATTCTGTTTCGCCGTTAATTTCTCACTCGAAAGACGCATCCGTTGTCCGTCGGGAAAAGTTGTAACGAGCGACTAATGAATTAACCCTTTACAGTCGAAGCAGTTTCGATTCGAATGCTAAAATATGTTTTCTGAGCTACGGTATTTTGTATGATTTTTTATATGGCACGAAGAAAATGTTTCAGGACAAATTATATTATATAATATATTATTTATATATTATATAATATATATATTAATAATCTTATATTTTTTAATTTATATATTTTTTTTAATTCTCGCGAGATTACTTTTCACACTTTCTCGTTCGAGTAATGTTAACTAAGACATTGACAAAGATGTGCGAAACCTTGTTGACGTAAGAGCTATATATTACAGAATAGAATAGAATATTCGCATCTTTATGTTCAAGTTGTAAAAAAATACGCGAATAAAATTTATCGATCGCGTAATTTTCATTACCAGTTCTCTTTACATCGTAAAGCTTTTTCTAGCGAGAGCGTTCCAAAATAACGTACTTTTCATGGAACTTCGATCGGTAGATAAACTCGCGATAATAAACGAACGTTTCTCCGGGAACAGATATTCTCTCAATAATTGATTCTATTTATACTTGCACGTCGGTTGTTGCTAGCAGACGCGAGAAGCTAAGGTATCATTGATCGTTTACATAAGTGTAGGATGGGATCCGACTGCACGGCCGCGAATGGACAAAAGAGAATCGCGTGGCGGATCGGCGCGACGTTTCAAGGAGACCGCTTTCCGATTAGCCTTCTTCTTCTCCTTCGTCGTCTTCTCGGTCTCTGATAATCTGCTGAATCTGCCGCGAGAGCTGCGTGCATGCGTGCGGTCTTATCGCGCCGTCACGCGAGACTCCCGGTCTCAATGGCAACGAAATTACGCGCGCGTGAATCAGCCCGGTTTTCGCGGAAAGAACGAGGGTGGCGAATACGCTCGGAAATTATCGAGATATCGCGATACTTGTTTCAATAACACGGCCGGATGTACCGCGCTTCCTCCCGATTATTCGAAGCCCGATGATGCACCACCCATTGTGCTGCACTCGTTTCGACATCTTGGGACCAATTGACAGATGACGAATCAATTCATCGTTCGTTGGCGTTGTTCATCAATGGCGCGGTCGCATTCGTCTTCCAACGGATTCACGAAGACGCGGTAAAGAAGGAAATTCAAGATTCGGATTGTACTTCTGATGCTGATTTTCAACTGCTTCTGATTTTTCTTTCGATCCCTTAACCGTTCGAGTCCCAAGCAGCGCGATCGCGCTGTTCAGATCTTGCGTCGCGATCGAACTTTAGCGACGCGCGTACATCGCATAGAGGCTTCCTTTCATTTTTTTTTCTTTTTGTTTTGTTCGTCAATCTTGACGAGCGCTATCGCGCCGCTTGGTTCTCTTCGCAATTAATTAAGACGAGCGCTATCGCGCTGTTCGGCAGTTTTCGACCGTGTTTTCTGAATAAATCCTGGGACTCGAACGGTTAAGTGGCGACAAAAAAGTATCGACATGTCAGAATTGAAATCGATTCAGCCTTGACTGCAACTCGCAGAATTCTCGAGCAGAAAATTGGCGGACTTTCGTCGGAATACAGTAATGTCTCTCTAATTGACGCTCGGATTGACCACAAAAATGGACTATTCGGGAAGAGGAGATACGATTGTTCGAGCCTTGAGGTTCGTTTTTATAGTTACGAATTGGCAACAATTGTAAGAACGAGCTGCAGGGCTCAAATAATCGCATCTCCTCTTCCCAAATTGTCCATTTTTGTACACAACCTGAGCGTCAGTAAGGGAGACGTATTACTGTATTACCTCGGTTATATATCTATTACAGTAATGTCTCCCTAATTGACGCAGAGATTCCGCACAAAAATGGACAATTTAGGAACAGGAGATACGATTGCTCGAGCCTTGCATCTCGTTTTTTATGGTTATCGATTGTCAACAACTGTAAAAACGAGCACAACAAGGCTCGAGCAATCGTACCTTCTCTTCCAAAATTATCCATTTTTGTGGACAAGCTGCGCGTCAGTAAGGGAGACATTGCTGTAGCGTGCGTGTACGAGGAACGAGGTCCCGCAAACTGTGGAAGGCAACCGTGTGGAATTCGACGTCTTCGTTGAAACGAAGGCGAGGCCGATCGCGGTAAAAAAGAACGAAAGATGTCGAAACGCGCTTGTTCCCGCGTGGCGCCTCGAACATTGTCCTCCATCTTATCGACGGAACGTGAACGACGGTGAGGTGAACGCGACGCGACAGACAATTACCGTGCAAAAGGTGGCGACGAGCGTGCACGCCGAGATGCGTTGCGCAACGGCGCTCGATGCAACGAAATTCGATCATCTTCGCCGCATAATAACCCTCCGCGGGGTCGGAGGGGCGGGAGACGAGAAGCGAGGAAGGGAAACAAGGGGAACATTAAGGAGACAAATGGCGATGACGCGGCGCTACTCGTGGCTCTCGGAGATGCTGGAAACCGTGGCAGGCCGAGGTCACGACCAAGCGAAAGAAATAATCGCTGCCGACGCCCGGAGATTAGTCGATCGAGCCCCCGATGGAACGCGACGGGAGGAGCTGAATCACCGTGATTCTAGCCGGGATACGGGAACCGGGAATGGAAGGTAGCATCCAGGAATCCGTGCGCTATTCAATCCGACCCGTATAACCGGAAAATCTCCGCCGGAGAATAGGCGAGTAACCATCAAAGCGATATCGACGACTACCACGAAAGTGGACCTCGGTTTACCCTCCTTCTGCTTTTCGATTAACTCTGCGTCGACTGCCCTAAGTCTCGCACATTTTTGCGCGCTCGTATTGTACTCGTTCCTCCGTATCGATCTCGTTCGTATTTTGAACGTTTTTTAAGCATGCTGTACGAAAGGACGTATTATAATTAATATGTTTCGCGTAAAGCAGGGGCGTCAAACTCAAAAGCTAACTTGGGCCATAATAATAAATAAACAATGCTTAACTTTAGGTGGGCCGCAAAGAAAATCAATGTTCATAGAAACATATATTTTTATTTTTACTAGTATATTGTAATAAACACATATATAAAGTTAAATTGTTTACGTCCTGATACTTGACATGAAAAATGTTCATCTCGGGCCGCGAGTTTGACACCCCTGGCGTAAAGGATATCGAATGAATTTTGCGACGGCGCGATGTTTAGAGAATTTATAGATTCTCTTCGATGATATTTTTATCGTGTTTTGTAAGAGAATACGATGTATATAATAGCATGAATGCAATCAATTTAACTGTGTAGCGATGTTGGTAACGAACGCGTTGATATGAAAATACGAATGAAAGGAAAAATCCTCTTTGCAGAATCCGATTGTCTCCAAATAAGGTGTGATTAAAAGAGTTATAGCTATAAGTTTAATTTTCGTGAAATTGATGTTGCGATTTTAGTGTGTTTATAATTTTCTTCGACGAGTCTTGCTTGGACGGTCTCGGAATATTTTACTAAACCTACCGAGCAGGCCTCAGAAAATTAAAACGATCGAATTCATTTTCATTTTATCAAGTTTTTATTACGAAGCTTGCTTCGATAACAATTTTTTAAGATATCAATGCTTCGATAACAATTTTTTAAGATATTTTAAACGACGACGAATATTTACGCAACTGTTTGCCCGAAATTTCGCCCGGAACTTCGACACAGAAAACTTCAGTTTTCTCGTTGGCTCGTCAAGGAGGCAGGAAGCAACTTCCGGTTTTATGTTATCAGGTTCGCGGAGCGCTGCCAAAAGTGGAAGTTGGAAAGTAAAGTGCCGAGGCACTTACATCGTAAGATTAAGTACCAAGATATCAAACTTTCCAAATCGTCAATTTTCACCTGGTTAAAAGTTCTTCGAACAAGTGCAGTCTCGAGTAAATCTCTTAATTACAATAGAGGGAGGGAGAGAGAAAGAGAGAACACCTTACGAAGTCACCGTCGAAATTGTCGCTATTAGCAACAGAGGACCGTTCGAAAGTTGTCGGGTCTCTCGATTCGTTCCAGATTGAACGGCGGACGGAGGCAGTCAAGGCGAGTAGCTCGATTTCGTGCACGGCAACGAAGCCGCCGAGCGCGAAAAATTCTTCTCGAGAAACTCGAAAATCTTCGAGAATCTCGCAGAAAAGGAGTTTCAACTCTCTTGCGCCATCTTAACGTTTTCTTTAACCCTTGCGCGAGCGATCGGACACGGTTATCCGCGTTTCTGGTAACGAGATCACCGGCGTTTTCTTGCGGAATAAAGAAAGACAAATTCACGGAAACGTTATTTAACTTGTCCGCGATGCTTCAGCTTCGAGGGCTATGTTTTCCAGAAATTTCAGCGCTGATGTATTCGATGCATCGAGCTCGTTTAGAATCCGCGGCATGCGAGAAAACCGAAAGGGCAATTACGTTGTTAAATAAATTGCTTCGATTCGATGAGATTTGCGAGACCGTGGGTTAGCGGTCGGAACTCGAATAGGTTCTGCAACCGCTAGACTATGTCGGAAACGCGACTTTTAACTATCTTCGTCCGAATAATAATCCGAGATCAAGGTGGTCGACGGATGTCTCCATAGCGGAGTCAACGGAGCGCTAAGGGTTAAAAAGCTGAAGGAAAATTGGGGAGAATTTACCGTGGTCCGACCGAAAATTATGAAAATCCTATAACCCTTTGGTGAAAAAGGGTTCGCCTAATCTTTCGCCTAATCGTCCGCGACCTAAATTCTTACTCGATCGCTTGCACAAGGGCTGCATAATTGTAATCGGTCCACGGACGAACGCGCGATCATGCGGAGAGCAAACGGCGCGCGTTCTCGCGCAACAGCATATTTTCTGGCTTACCTCTTGGGACACGGGGATGTTGTTCTTGCTCCGACTGGTGTTGGATGTATTATTAATGGCAGAGAGCGCGGTGAGGGCTGCAGTGGCGGCGCTGCCAACCGTCTTCCCGCTGACCTTGGTACCAGCACCGCTGACATCTTTGTGCAACGTTCCAGGACTCTGAAATTGAAATATCGGCGCAACCGTTAGGACAATGCGAAACGGGGGGGCTAGAGCTTCGTCGATGATAATGAAGGGATGCGACCCGGCGTCGTTCAATCCCGGATGAAATACGTGACCGAGGGGACATTTAATGGCTCCCATGCGCGGGCGAAATAATGCCACCCGTTGATATTGTAAATAATATTTCGTGGGAGCCTCGCCGGCACGCGTTTACAGAGTCCGTTTGTTTTTCTCTCTTTTTATCGTCCTAAGCCCGGACCACCGATCGTCGATTGTTACCGCATACGGCGAATGGAACAATAAGGATCCGTTTCGCTTCGCGAACCACTCCGACGATGGTTCTCGCGGCTTCTATGTATTGGGTTGGCAACTAAGTAATTGCCGATTGCAAAATTTTTTATTTCATTGAACAAATCGGTAATCACTTAGTTGCCAATCCAATACTTCCACTTCGACAGCGGCTAGGAAATGTACAAGCTTCTTCGAGATATCGGACGATGGGAACGAGCGATATTGATTACTCGCGTAGGTTAGTTAATTATTTTTTAACGTAAGAGCACGTATTAACTTGTACTTTGAAAATTAATATAATTCGCTTCGGAGTTGGACGAAAAGTAATCCGATCAACGATTATATTCGTTAATTCAAACGAATTGTAATCGTTGGTTCAAACAACATACAATTGTCAATCGTAACGTGGTTATTCATTACAAATTACTTCGGTTACAATAGCCAACGAGTTACAATGTTTGATCATAAATCTGATCATTATTCGCCGAACTCTGATTCACTTCGTACCACGAAGACTCGCCTGTTGCGAGAAAATAAAACCAGCGTGGAACGCTTCTCGATGGGTCAATATTTGCGGAGCGAAGCGAGCACAATCGAATTTCATTTCGAAGGATCTCCCATCGGTTAGAAAGGAGATGAAATTAGGGTTCGCCGGGAACGGTGAGCGATGGTAATACGCGGCCAGACACGATAAAGAATCCGAGGGGGGTAATTTTTCATTTAAAATGAAAGGATCGCGGGAAGACCGTCTCTCGGTTCGAAAATATTATACTTTGTAGCGGACGTGTTCCGCCCGAGGTTCAACGAAATCAATCACGTTCGCCTGGATCGCGGCATCGATCCGGCCGGCCGGTAACCACTTTCCACCGGGCTAATTACTATAATCAGCGCGTAATCGCCGGGAGCGCGAAAAGGCGACCTTTCCCGGCGGGGGACCTCGACTTTCGAGTTTTCTTTCGATCGCGGCGCGGAGCGCGCGCGCGTCCCCGGCCGAGGATCGCTCGATCCGCCGAACCGGCTAAAGTCGCCGCGACATTTACGTTGATCCATCGCGACCCGTTCGCTTCGCATCAATTACGCGGGCTCGTATATCATACGGTTTAACTCGGGAGCGAGCGCGGCACGCAAACGGGGGCTGCTCGTGGACGCGCGGGCTCCCCACGGGCTGGCTTGTTTCTGTTAATTAAGGGCCGCCGCGCCGGTGTAGGCTTCCCCGCGGCTTATGCACGCTGTCTCATTTGCGTCTTGTCGCAACGGACTGAACCGAGTGATTTAGTAATGGCAGACAAAGAGATGACGTGGGCGGAGGATTCGAGCGCGAGCTCTATCCGCGGCGCTAGCGCGAGAGACGCTTCCGCGACGAGACCGGCCGCTGCTAAAATGGTACATCGAACGAGACGCGCGCAATCGCAGAGATTGTTTCCGAAACGCTGCGGATTCTGTTCCGTTCGGCGTCCGAATTCGATGCTGTTGCATCTCGTACGGGAAGATCATTTTTGTGGAATCGGTTCGCACACGAAGCAATTCGCGTTTATTATTCCTGGCCGCTCTTGTTCGCCGCGATACGAAAAAGAAATAATAAGAACACGCCGACTCGATGCGTCGCGTTACTCGAGCGGGCATTGTACTCTCGAGAGAGCTCGCATCTTCCGAGTAAAATGCTCTCGCAGAGACTTCTCGGTATCAAGTTAAATATTTAATTCTCTGTTTACTATTTGCCGTCTCAGATCGCTGTCTCCCGCTTCTCTCCCGCGCGTATACGCGCGCATCGCAATACCCGGTTACGATAAAAGCGCGATAAGCTCGCAGAAATACAAACACCAGCGATTACAGTCGCGCGCCGGACACCGTCAGCGTCCGAGGGCTCTGATATCGTTTAATTGTACGCCGCCGCGACGTTTATCCGGGCTCTCAATTAACGTGTCTCACAGTGGCCTTCCTCGCTGTCGGACCCGTCGACGCGTTGCATTAAACATGGACGAGAGAGACGCGCGGCGCGCGTGTGCACTTGTTGCTCGTCCATCGATGCCGAAACTTGACGCTCGTTTTTAAACTTTTCGCATTGTTCCGACGAAACGAACCTGAAATAGACGGCGCGGCGGCTTCGCTGTGCCGGCGCGGTTGCGATCGACATTTTCACGCGCGGTCCATTGTATAACTGGTGCTACGCGTTTCTACTTTAAATTTAACTCGTGTAGTTTAGATAAGTTTCGTATCGATGGAAATATTCTGTTTAATGTTTATTGCAGAGATCGAGTTGCCGAAGCTTCGAGTCTCGCAGATTTTCAAGAGGAAAATTTGATGATACCGATCTCCGCACCGTGGCAGTTTTGTGCGAAGTTTACTGTCGAATAATAAAATGTCGCATACGATTTATCTGGTTTCGATTCAAACCCGCGCAAAAATTTGCAAATTAATTAAATTGCAAATTTTTGTACCAACAAAACCGCCAATAATCGTACAATCTTCTATCCTTGATTCAAACAATGGCATCTTCTTTCCCAGAATTGTCAATTTCCGTGGACAATCCGAGCGTCGATTAGAGAGACATTACTGTATCGCCAACGTTCTATCATCTTATATTTTCTTCGCAGCGTTTCTTATGCATTTCGCTTATAGAAACGTCCCAGTTCTTGACAATGAATGATCCGAGAAAATTTAGCCTCGTCGAACGTAAATTTCCAAATATTACGAGCTCGTAATTCACCGCGCCAGGCGCCTGTTTCCCGAGAGAAAGGATCGCATCGCTCAGGCGATTTAATCGCAACCCCGCGAAGGACCATTTTAACCGAGAAGCGCGCGTGTCGCAGTAAATTCGCGAAAATTGATCGCCCTTCCGCTTCCCATTAAAAAAGAAAAAACGAATCAAATAATTGCCTCCGTAAATCGCGTGAAAATTTAAACACTTCCGCGAAGATAATTCCGTGGGAAACACGCGTCCGGCAACTTTCATTCGCCATTGGTGAGGTTTCGAATTTCGATTCGATTTGCATTTCCACCGTCGAGAGTAGAAGCTCCAAAAGCGAACGTTCGTGAAATCTGTTCGCGCGAGATAAAACGATATAGATACGGTGCAATGAATCGTCTAAATGTCAGCACCCTCTGCGAGAACGTCTGTCGATTTCCCCGGCGAACGACCGCTCGCAGCAAACAATTTTCCACGCTGCCAGAGCGCCGAGACGCACGCCCTTACCGGTGAAAGTGTTAATGGAAAACGCGCGCATACCGCCTCGCAAATCGTCGGACAATTGAAATTGGAAGGCCGGCGAAGCGAAGCGAGAGAGAGAGAGAGACGCTTCCGGCGGGACTTTCACGTCGCGAAATAACACGTCGCGTCGCGTCGACGAGAGTTTTCTTGCGCCGGAAAGGAGCCGCGACGAATCCTCGCGGACACCTGTCAGCCCCGCGAATTAAAAAGTCGCCGGAGAATTCATTTTCCTCCGGGCGATATGTATACGTGCGCGGCGCGTTACGGTAGCTATCCAAGATACTTTTTCAGACGCAAAAATACGGACGGTAATTTAACCCGACGCTTTTTAGCCGTGCTCGTGAAATATATCGCGCGCACGCGAGTTCGCTAAACGCCGCGGAACTTTCGTTGAACATGCGAGGAGTCCGCTATAAACACTGCATACTACACGTTCGATTCGATTTCATCTTATTTTATGATAACTCTCCTCGAATAGAGTTGCCCCGAACCAAATTGTCTGCGCACGAAGGCCTTCTTTGGAAATGAATCGAAGGGCAAGGGGTTAATAATCTCCGCTCGTCCAGCTTCCCTCCCTGTCCTTCGCTCTCGTATTTTATCGTTTTCTCCGCCGCCTTCGTTCTTAATTAGTTTCTTCCAACGCTATTATAACCGGAGGTTCATCCATCTAATCCCAAGCACCGTTTGATATATTTGATCTTCGCTATCTGCAACTCCTCCCATTCGTTTCACTCAAATAGTCCCGGCTCGTGCGTCGTACAACTTGCCACCGGGGTGTTGGACGTAAACATTCTTCCGTCAAAATCGTTTTTAACCCTAGAACGACCACCCGAGATCGATCATCGATCATCCCGAGCTGACGAAATCGCAACATTTATCATTTGTCTGCAAATGTGTAGATAAATACTAAACCATTGAGATATTATATAAATATAATATATAATAATAATAATAATAACCTATAGTATATAATAATAATAATGATGATGATGATGATAATAATAATAATAATAATAATAATATATGTAACATATAATATATCGTTCCAGGGTTAATTATTCTTCCTCCAGTTCGTCATATCTCCTTTATTGCCATATATGCACCGCTATGAAACTATAGATTAGTTATTCCAGACTGTAAAAAAAAAAGAAAAGCTCGATTGTTTCCGATAGAGATAACGCGGCCTGAAGATTCATTATCGTACGAACGAAGGTTTATCGCGCACGTGTCATTGTCGCCGGTTTCGTTATTTTATACGAGCATCTCTCCGCGAAATTATCCTCGTCGCGTGTTCATTTGTAACGAAACAATTGCAATTTACACGAAAGAATGACCGTAATTAGCGCGAAGTAACAGAGTACACCGCTGTGCCCGATGCCGTTTCCCGTTTACGAGGAATAATAAGTAGCAGCCCCGAATGTTCCATTAAATGCCGAAATAAATTGCAGATTCAATTACGGACCATCCGAGCGTGCTCGAGCGCAGTAATGCGCGCGAT